TAGTTCCTACACAACATAGGTATCACAAGGGAAAGGGTATCTTTAACTGTATTTCTCCAGAGAGAAATATCTGAATTAGCACCAGAGAGAAAGTTTTTTTTCTTAACCCTGCCTCCTCCCAATGACTCTCCTACTTCCATCTCAGCCCTGGACAAATGCAAATATGAGACCCCACAGCATTGGTGTTAGGTCACTTTTTGCCACGTGCTGGGATCTACTCATGTCTATTGCTGTGTACATGATGTAATTATACAAGAAAGTTGATGAGAAAACTCAACATTATTTCTCTTTTTGCCTGAACGTAGACCAGCAGGCTCCTGTTGTCTGGGGCTGAAGAGAATGCTCCATTCTTGTTCACTATCACAGCATGGACAATAGTGTATGTATGTGTTGTGTGTGTGTGTGTGTGTGTGTGTGTGTGTTTATGGGGTTACCTAGCATGCAGAAATAAAACTGTAGTCAGATTGGCTTCAGTCTGGAAATGGCCAATGAGCCATGCTTACAGACTTTCATAAAAACATTAAAGTCCATTTCAGACTCTTAAAAATAAACGAATCTTTGAAAAAAGTATGTTAAAAACCATTTTTAAGAGATGCTTACAAATATCCTTCCAAAATACATGAAACAGTTGAAAAGACAATAGAGACTTACTATCCTAGAGTGAAACTACATTGCTAGAAGGCTTTTGAAATGACTGACAGCAACATTACTTTCCTGTACTTTACGGGAACTGCATTTACATAATTGCATAAAGTGATTCAGAATTGACCTCACGTGTGAAAACAGGCAATGGATGACAGTAAGATGTCATGGTGAAGGAAAGTGCATTATGGAAATAACTTGTCAAAGCTAAGAGATCAGACTATTTTTCAGGGTCCATGGAATTTGTAATCATGAATTTGCTGCTCCATTCGTTCCTTTTAAAGAATGTGATGCAGACTACTGTAAAAGTGCCTATATGTGGCCTCCAATTGTTATTTCCTAGGCATCAGTAAGGAAGAAGAAAGAATTTCCATAATCTTTGAAGTGCAAGCAATCAAATCATTTTCCTTCATTACATTGTTTCCATTCTCATTCATTCTGACTGTAAAATTGCAGGTGTCCTCTGATAACTAATTCCAGTGGGGGGCAGAGATTTCCCCTAGGTGACCTGGAATTCATTTAAAGTAGCACAGTTCTCAATCCACTTTATTGAGTAAGTGTTGGAAACAAATCAGATTTTAATTTATGTAGAATTAAGATAAGAATATGGATTATTGGAGAAATAAGTACCAATGAAAATGACGTTTTCCTACATAAAATACAAAATCAACATTTAAATAAAGAAAAGCATTGTTTTCTTTATGAACATGTAATGAACATAGAGCCTTCTCCTAAAGCAGTCTATTTTCTAAGGCAATACAAACGGGGGAACATTTTCTGATACTTGCAACATGTCTCTCCAGACAAGAGCATACACATGATCTTGGAGCTTTCCATAGCAACAAAGGAGAAAAATAATCCACACTGTTTTGTTCCCAGGCAACCCTTACCATGTACCTACTATGTGTCAGGCATTTATCCTGACCTGTGAAAACAGAATAGCCCTTCCTGCGTTAGCAAGGAAAAGCACACACTGCAGCCTTGTGACTCACAAAGCACCCCATTTGTTGCCTAAAATATACAGTTTCTATTGCAAGACAGTGTACACAAAGCAAGATTCCTATGCTTTGACTCATCCTTGAGACACAATCATCATTTGTCAAGGAAGATAATTCTCAGTGGCCTCACGGACACACTTTCAGCTGTCACGTGGCCCATGCATGTGACATTCATGCTTTTCAGTCCTTCGTGCCTGCAGTCTGCTCTGCTCCAGCCAGCACCACAGTCATTGCCGACCCCAGCCCAAGAAGCAGCCTCCAAGAAAGCACAAGGTAGGACTTTCCACACAGTTCCTTGAAAGATTTGGTGGGACTGTCTGTCACTTGGAGGCTGCTTATGTCAGGGCCCCAGTCCCTCTGCTCACCTACACTCCCTGCCTCCTCCCCTATTCATTACAGTCAGTAAAAACCCACACCCACTATTGCCCTCCTCATTTCATAGGTGCTCTCTCAGAAGGTCTGTGTTCCTTGCCTGCATTTTTACCTGGCTGGAAACAGAAAGACTGAAAGCAGTAGGAAGAGTAGGGAGAAAGAGGAGTATGGTCTCAGAATCTTGATAAGACCAAATTTCTGATCATTTCATTTCAGTGTCTAAAATGTCTTTTCTTTGCCTAAAGCAAAACATACCCAAGGTTAAGTCCACAGAAAACTGTCAATATACAACCATTTGTAGACATACAAAAATGTCAACTTTATGTGGTTCGACCTGACAATAAAAGGTGACTTGATTCTTTTTTTTTACTCTGTTAGTTCTAAAGTTTAGCTTTTAAATATTCAGTTAGACTTTTCTAACCTGCCACTTTCCAATGTAACTTTGTTATTATGGGAATCTGGTTCTGTGTTCACAACTGACCACAAACAAATTCTGGAACACAACCCGTTCATAAGTTAAGCATAGCTTATGAAGAATGTTCTTTCCTGAGTAAGACAAGATTGATGGATTCCTTTTATTACAACTACAGGATAAAGAAACCACAAAAGGTTAACTTATATCCTCCAGATAGCCCTCTCAGCCTTTTGACTCCAAAACTCAGCCATAACCTGAGCTTATCTGGTGGTGAGCCAGGCCAGTCCTAGACTCAGAAGGCTCAGCCAAGGCCACATGTCTGAACACGGCAGCCCGAGAAAGGCTGACTCGTCAAACACGGACAGATGTGGAAATGCAAGTCTAAAACAGTGTTCCAGCCATGCCAGCCTGTTAGAATAGCCTGAGAAGAGCTCAAACCACTGTGCATCCCCAGAACTTCTGATCTCACAGGCAGAGATGCACCATGGGCATGGGCATCCAAATTTCACAAAGTTCCCTGGGGAACTCAATAAGCAGTCTCTTGTAAGAACCATGGTTTCAAAGATTAGTCCAAAACCAGGAAACAGCTTTATAGACTACAAGTACTATTATACTATATAAGGCATAAGTACTATTTATAGGTTCAGAATGAGCCCTTGTGCAGGATGTCACCCAAACAGAAAAGGCAGGGTCTGAAGGCCACGTGGAAGGTGCCTAAGGCACCTAGGCTGCCCAGAAGTCAGAATGTCCGTGGCGTGAGGAAGATGTCACACAGCATCACAGGGCCCCAGTCACAGGTTCACGGAGGACCCCACAGAGGGTGTTGGGAGAGTAAAAAGCAACCTCAATACTCTCTGTCACTCAGAAACTTCTGAGAACAGGCAGGAGTCAGGAAACTAAGGCCAGTGCCTAGGTGAACATAAGGCAGCACCATCCTGAAGGACGAGGTAATTCCATCAATGCTGTATCCTTAGCTCTTTTTTTTCTTTCTCCCTACTTTCATGTTGGTTCCGATTCCACCCCGACCCACCCAGAAGAGGCTTTATTATCCCAGCTGTAGGGATAAAGACTTCAGGGGCAAGGACACAGCAGGTCTTTATGGTTTTTCTCTCAGAATAGATAACTTACCTCCTTCTCTTTGTCATGCCCAGAAAACAGGGATTTCTCCTTTAAATTCTGCTCAAGATCTATTTTTTCAGGAAACTTTCCAACTAATGGTATAATTTATAGCCCACTCTCTCAGTTAGTACATGCACAAAGGAACCCAGCTGAGAGGGTTGAGACATGAAGTTGTGTGGCCAGATATGAGGCTCTTTCTGCCCAAAGGATCCTCTTTCTCTAATTTGCACCAAGGTCAGTGTGGGCTAGCAGTGCTTCTGACAGAAACTACAAATTTGTATCTATTTAAATGCTTGTTGACTGAATGATTAATCTACTGATTTTAACCCATCTCCCTGACAAAGTCGATAAATAAATGCCATATTTTAAACACTTGATGGAGAACTTACTCTGCACACACACACAATTTTCCTCCTAAAACTATTCATGTAACAACAACAAAAATATTCATCAAAAGTAGCAAGAAAAAGCTTGCACTCTGCCCAACCAATTTCATTCACTGACGACAGCAGAGAAAAGCATAAAGGCCCCTTGTTTTTCTGTCTTTGTTTCTCATGTTCTGTGCAAAATTGCACAGGAATTATGAACTGCTAGAAATGGTGTATAAATGACCAAAAACCAAACAACAGCTCCATAAGAGATCCAAGCTGGCCCCAGCTGAGCCAGGCTGCTGGAATTCTGGAACAAGAATTAGGGAATCAAGTTCCATCCTTGGCATGGGCCCCAGTTCATTGACCTTCACTTGCCCTCACATCCTCGGCCTCCCAGAGCACGCACAGGGCTTTGTGACAAGCAGTGCAGCACAAAGATCTTTCACTTGATACTTAACAGGATCTGAACATCTCAGATGGAGGCCACAAAGCCAGTTCCCACGAGGAGAGCACCTCAGACATGCCTGTCCCTGAAGTCCAGCTCTCCAAAGGATCTGTGGCTGGTTAGTTGTAGCTTTGGTGCCATGGGAATCATGGGTGAAGAAATAAGCTGTAGAAAATATCTCAATTCCCCCAATGGGACAGACATTCTTAACAAAGCTTGATCCAGCAGTGTAGAAAAATTCAAGTAACATGTGACTATGTCTTCAAAGAACAGGCATGTCCTCTCCATTCGGACTTGCCCTGGCTGCCCTCCCAATCCGATCCCTCCCCTAAGCTCACTCAATATTAAACCCTTTATGACATGCGTTTTGTCCTGTGACTCCTTTACCATTGTTCAGACTCAGATGAAGGTGACTCAAATGATTCCATTTGGACTGCAGATTCTGGTCCTCATCTCTATCTTCATCAGAAGAGTCATCACTTTTCTCCTGAAAGTCATATATATGCTAAAGGTGGAAACTCCAGCTAATGGAGTTCTCTGAATATATGTGCAATGCTCACATTTGGTTGCCTAGAGGAATTTCTTCTTTCTCTAAAACTGAAGGCATTCCCAAAGCAGGAAGGATGCAGGGAACTCACCTAAGAGAATTTGATCCCAGCTGGTCTCTGGAATCCAGTCCATTTCCTTCTCCCACACACCTCACTGGAATGTTTTAAGAGTATCTGGAACAAATCAAAAGGAAGTTCCTACTTAACATAAGGTGAAGTTTTAGTTATATCACATCCCAGTCCCCTCACCCTCTCCAGTGCATCTAATTACAAAGTCCTCCATGCCCTCATGGGTGGGAACTTGACGGTGGAAGGTCAGGTAAGGCAGGGACTAGACTCAGTTTTGACTGCTTTGCAATAATCAAATATCTCTCTAAATTTAAGTTAGTGTTCTTAAATTTGCTGAGCAAGAAGCCATTGGCTAAGAAGTTGTGATGATGCTGCCTCACTCAGTCTACACCCTAACTACTGCTCCCCAGACTTCAGACTCAGAAGTGGAGCCAAGTGACTCCTTAAGTCCTGCTGGAATCCTTGAAGCCTTTTCTATCTACTCAAAAACGTTTTAGGTATAATCCCTTAGTATTGGTCTCCCTCTCATCATTCAGGTCTACCAGGCTATTTAAATCCAAAGGAATAAAAAGTGGCAGACCGCATATCTGTGGACATTATTAATAAGGAAGTGAAATTCCAAAAACTCAATCTGGGCTGAGATGTGTAACATCTTTACTTATATCTTTGTATTTGGAGGGGGTTTTTCCTTTTTTCTTTTCTCTTTTTTCTTTTTTTTTTTTTGGTACTGAAAACTGAACCCAGGGCTTTCACACTAATCTATATCACCAACTTCTTTTTAATTTTTTAAATTTTGAGACACCGTCTTGATAAGTTGCCCAGGCTAGGCTCAAACGTATGATCCTCCAGCCTCAGCCTCCAACAATGCTGAGATCATATGAACATGTGCCGCCACACCTGGATTTAACTGCTGTTTTTACTTCATATTTGTCCTCCAGAAAAATTATCCCCCAATAATAAAAATGTGGAACATATTTAAATAAGTACATATACATTCATTTACACACCTACAAAATTAAATGAGTAGTAATACAGGAGCCAATCTTTGGAAATGAATGAAACAGCCTAATTCAATGGTTCTCAACCAAGGGTGGTTTTGCTCCCCGGGGGACATTTGGCACTACCTGGAGAAATGTGTTATCAGGGCTAGGAAGTGGAATGAGAATGCTACTGGAGTCTCCCAGGTAAGGCTGGGGATGCACAGCCCCCTCACAATGTACAGTCCTCCATCATATCCAGTCCAAAATGCCAATAATGCTGGTGTTGAGAAACCTGGATCTAAAAACACAAATGGTCCTAGGTATACAAAAGCATTATTTTTCCACACAACTTAGAAATTCATTTATTCTCATTAATAAATTGTAGACTCATTAAGACAAGCATAGCATATCAAATAATAAATGGTATATTAAAAGTACTATGCACATTTGATAGCAAAGACTAACAGAGATGAGACCTATAGCTGCTCCCTTTCTTAGAGGTTTGCTGAGCAGCACAGCCGTTGACTCCTCAGGCAGTAAAGAGTGTTGCTGCCCCCTAGGGGTTGAAGAGGTCCCTCAAAACATCTCTGCTCCAAAGATCTGAGCTGCAAGGCTAGTAGGCGTGCACTTCTCACATGCACATGTGAAAAGAAAGAAAAAAATACCTTTGAGTTTTATGGCAAGAAATTGTTGTTTACATTTTTTATAAATGTAACTAAGAGTCTACAGTCAATTAAGTTTTTTCTCCATTTTATGCGTGTGACATGAAACTGAAAAGTCCAAGTTTCAAGTAAGGTTAGCAGGTATTTGGTGTCTATTTTTATTGTCATTTAATTGGGGTAGAAAAGAAAAGGTCAAAGGACCCACAACTCTCTAGTAGAACTGTCTTTCTACACACCCTTTTATTGGAATTATAGCAAGCCAATAACAAGTTGTAAAAAATTGTAAATCAAGAGAAGTCCTCATTTAAAAAATTATAAAAATTTAAAATTTAAATTAACTCTATTTAAATGAAAATTAAGAATCAATTTCAATAGACAAAGGTCTTCTTTAACCAACCATACTGCCCTAACACACACATACACAAACACATGCGCGCGCGCGCGCGCACACACACACACACACACACACTGCCCACAAAGAGAACGATGCTGAAAGGACTTCTCTACAAGCTTTAAGAAGGAAGGAGAGAGTATTGCTGCCCCTTCCTTTCGGGCTCCAGAGAAGATGCACCCAGGCTGCAGCATGCATTCCCCAAAGTTATCACTCCCTTTTCCTCACCCTAGGTCTTCCTCAAGCTTCATCATGACCAGAGGGGCTGATCCTTGATTATTTTTTATGGACCAGAGATAAAAAACTTCTAACTCCTTCAACACAAGGATTCCAAAGCATCTTAAAACAATACAAAAACACATTTGGAGCTTTACAGCTTGCCTATGAAATAGGCCTGAACTCCTTTTCTGTGCTTTAAGCAAAGAAATTTGATTTTTAAAAACTAGGACTTTTTTTCTGACTCATCTAGTCTTCTACAGCCCAGACCAGTTCACAACTCAGCTCATAGTTACATAAAATGGAATGGCTCTTCCTCCTCGCTCTTTTCATGCAGCAGGCCTACCTACCTTCCATCTCTACCTTCCCTAGAGTCTTGAAAATATCAAAATTCAGACCTTACTTTATTCAAGGAGAAAAGCCTAGAAGGAGACTACCATTAGAGCAAGAGAAGAGAAACACATTGTAATTAAGATATGATTCCATAATTGGCCAAAAAGAATAGCTATGTGCTTAATCAAGGTGACCACTTTTATAGTCCATAGATCAAAAATTTAAAAATACACTGTTGCAAAAATGACTGAATGAATGGATGAATAGAGAGATAAGTAAGGCAAGAAATTTTCATTAGAATTAGAGCATTTCCATGAATTGTCTGCAGTCCAGTTCTCCTAAACAAAGAATCATGTGCGGTATTACATGAGAAAATCCTTTCTCAACCAACTGAAAGATGTTATCTAGAAATACATACTATTATATTATTATCATTTACATAACATTAGATATTACTGTTTGAAATACACAAGCAAATTGTCTGTTTATCTACCTCACAGATTTATTGTGAGAATCAAGTGAGTTAAGTCAAGAGAAAGTTCTTAGAAGTTCTTTCAATGGCTATATACAAGTATAAGATAACATTATTATGGTCAAGTACAGTATTGGATTGGTTATGGTCAAATACAAATGGATTGTCATAGAGATGAATTGTTACTGTCAAATACAGTAAAATGAATTGTCACCCAGAAAGGTGTTAGATGTTATGGCTACATGGGCACAGATGTTAATTCCTTCAAAGATCACATATTCTGATCGCTCACCCAAAAAAGCAAACATAATTTGATAGATACACAAGATAATTTGAAATTGGAACTATACCTTACCTAACTTCAAGACATATTGTCCTTTAATCTAATCCAATTCATTACATTATTTTAAAGGGCCCTTAAAGAATATCTACTCAAGATCCTCTTTATTTCTTATTTGTATTTTATATTTTATAGGCTATAAGGGAAATATTTTTGATACAGATATGTGATTTTTAAAAAAGAAGGCACAAAATTGTGTATTCATAAAAGTCTCAGCTATGTAGAAAACAATATGAAAATAATAGTAATGGGTACCCTGGATGATGAGACTACAAAAGGTTTTTTTTCTCCTTTCATGAGAGTCCAGTGCTTTTTAATGGTTTTTTTCAAAGTTACATACATACTTTCTGAAAGTTATTTCATTATAAAAGGCTGGTTGATCAAAAATAATGGGTTTTTTTGTTCTAGCCCTTTCTGCCATCAATTTTCTTTGCTCAGAGGCAACCAATATCATTTGTTCAGATGTTTGCTCCATTGTCTCTTCTTTTTAAATGATGCTGATACAGCTATTTTTTGATGTTTCAGATTTAGTTATTATCTGTATTTTCTTATTGTGGAGGGGAAAGGATGACATTCTTAATGCCTCTTGACACTCATGGGTTGCCCTCCCCTCCATCTTCTAGTATAATTATATCATTAATTAATATTAAACTTTTATTCAGTATTTGAGGTACTATGTCCACCTCAAGATCACCCTAATTCCATTTTTGCAGGTATTAACAGTTATTGCAGTTATTAGCAGCCCATTTTGTCTGTTTAATTAAGATTCTAGGCATAAATAGGTTCTCAATTCATTCAAGCACTTAAGTATACCATAAGCTTCATCTTTCCTTTTACTTAACATTTTTCTGGAAACTTCTGTGTTCCCTTCTCTTTGGGTTTGTTGATCTCTAATCCTGTTTTATAGAAATTGTATCTGAATCCCCCTTCACCATGTGGAGACTGTATTGGCTTTTGAGGGTTTGTTTTGTTTTGTTTTGTGTTTTTGTTTTTATCTTGTATTTACTTCTTTCTTGGTATATCCTCTGATTTTCATGGAGCATGTGATCTAATATTTTTTTTGTATTAAATTCTTTTATTGGTACATTGTAGGTATACAACACAATTACGTTTCTCATTGGGAACTGTACCTTTACATAATGCATCTTGGTTCTTATTTTTTCCCCATTCCTAGCCCTCCCTTCACGCCCTCCACCCTTCCCTATTTACAAAGACTTTATTTCCATTTTTTCCATTTCTCATCATTCTTTCCTTTCCCTTCTTTCCTTTCCCCTGTGCATCCCACTACCCCTACCCCTTTGGACCTATTATTCCTATTTTACATTATCGATTATTCATTCTAATCATTGGTACATTTTAGGTATACAATATAATGACATTCATCATTGGAAATTTGCACCTTTATATAGTCTCTCTTGGTTCTTGTTTTTCACCCTTGCCCAGCCCTCCCTTCAACCCCTCCAGCCCTCCCTATTTATAAAAATTTTGTTCCTATTTTTCCATTATCTCATATTAATCCCATTCCCTTCTATCCTTTCCCTTAGCCCTCCCACTTCCTTCCCCTTTGCCCCTTTTCTTCCTATTTCACATGACCTATTATACATTTAGTCCTTATTTACACTTTCAGTTTCTCACACGAGAGAAACTATTCGGTATTTACACATCTGTGTCCTATTTATTTCACTTAAGAG